GTGGTTGTTCTCAATCTGCTGCCAGGCTACAGGAATGAGKGGATGGAACCCTAACTGCTACAACAAACAGAGAACAACCCTGACATCTTATCTTTACTCAGCCGAACTTAAGCAACTATTAAAAACACACAACATATAGTATCCTTTACTCAAAAACACAATATCAGCCTGGCATCACTTAAATACTGTCTTAAGTGAGGTATCTAAGATCTCATGTCTTTCACCTATTTGGGGGAATGACAGATTCAAACCAGGAAGAGGAGATGGGGGATTCAGACWATGGATGAATAAAGGGTTAAATAAAATAAGGGAACTTTATAGTGAAGGAGTTTTAATATTCTTTGAACAATTAGTAAACAAATACAGTTTGTCCAACAAAAAAAACCCACTTTTTATGTACTTACAATTTAGACGTTGTGACATATCTACTGCTGAACCTCCCCTTTCTACCATGGAGTATACAGCCGTTCACCATCGTCAGAGTAATATTTTTATTTTTAGCCTTAAAAGAAAATAGCCATTCATGTTTACAAGCATGGAAAACAGATCTGCAAACAGGAATCTCTGAGGATGAATGAATAACTCATGTCTACTGGCACAAACGTAAACTATTAACACAAGGTTTAGACTATTGCAATACAAATGGTTATTTAGAACGTATATCACTCCTGTAAAACTTCACCATTTCAATTCAAATATGCCTGATGGCTGAGTTGAATGTAATAAAGATAAGGGTACTCTTTTCCATTTAAAAAATCATTTTTTTTGGAAGGAGGTTATATGTTTATTTCTTGATTGATTAAACAAGATGTGCCAGTGGACAGTAAACTCTGCTTACTGTATATTTTCCATGAAAGAGAAGGGAGCTTGTGAGCTTTTGTTTCTTACAGGTTAAACATGTGATTGTTCTGAACTGGAAGAACACACAAAGACCAAAGATAAACAAATGAATCAAACTATTGAGCAACAACCTGACAATGAAAAAACTTGTGTTCATTTTTATGGAAAAACTGACTTATCTAAAGGGAAGCTTGAAGACTAAAATTAGTTGGGTACCCTTCCTACATCTCGTTAAACACGGTGACATGTAAACTAAGTTTGCTTTTGTGTTGATGGAGTGAGCT